AAACATCTTGAACTTGAAACTTGAAACTGTGATTCCATTTCCGGCTTTCAGGGCTTCTATTTTAACCGACTCCTCCTAAAGATTTTATCACATTAACTTCAAATTCCATCACTGCAATGTAGACACGATGTTGATCACAGTTAATCAAACATTGACTGATCATCAAACAACGTGTCCGTGGCGAGGTCCCGCCCAACGCTGCTTGCAGCTTTAATTATCATTGTTATTATAATCATTGTTATTATTATCATTATTATTATAATCATTATTATTATTATCATCATTATTATTATTGTTATTATTATTGTTTTCCTTCCCAACATCAACATCATCACAAATGAGACGTAACGAGACAAATGTCCTTCAGAGGCGGCGGCATTATCCGGATATTCTGGATTAATTTCTGTACGGTGGGAGGGGAGACGGCAGCGATCTTTATATGTGGATGATGAAGACACACACTATAACAACATAAAAAAAAATGCCAACAAAATATCAATCAATCAATAATGGGATGGATTAGGATAATGCCTGTACACCCCCTCCCCCACAGGGGAACCATTACAGTGGAAACCACAAAAAGAAATGAAGGAGGAGGAGCTTATACAGTCTGTAATTATAACCTCATCTACAGTATGATCTTACCTCTGCACTGACAGCTCGTATTGATTGATTGATTTATTCTGAATCTTCTTCCTGCCTTTAGTTCTTTGTGTTGTTTTCAGTCTGGGAACAGTTTTAACTTTAAAACACAGTAACTAAGCTCTTCTTTATACTCCAACAGATCTGCTCTTGGACTTGTGTTGAACTCGACTGAGGTGGTCTGATCCAGACTGCAGCTGTCCACACATCACAGTGTGTGTGTGTGTGTGTGTGCGAGAGAGAGACACCTCGGGGCATTTTGTCACTTAAGGAACGGACATTTGGACGATCAGTTTTCCTGCACGCTCCAGAGTCCGGATGAGCAGATTAGGGGTCAGGATCAGGACTAACTGATTTAGGAAGGTTTAGTGAAATCCATCCTCTTTGTTTGGACTCATCGGCCTGTCGGCTCTGTTCTTCTTCTTCTTCTTTTTCATCCCCTTTTCTCTGGTTCACTGAACTGCAGAGGCCGGCAGAGGATCACAGAACCAGCTCATACAGGTGTTCTCATTACCAGGTCTCACACTGTTTTATTGATTTGTTGACATTAATAATGTGAACAACACTGACAGAAAAACACAATCTAAACAATCAAACAAAAACATCAAAACTGAAAATACATGAAAACATTAAAAAATAATGAAATAATATTGATTCAAAAGGGGAAAATAACTTTCTGGAACAAATTATTTATCCCCAACGTGGGATCAATAGTGATTTTAAACATAACCTTAAATAATCTCATCTCATTTTACCTTCTTCATCTCCTTCATCTTATCTTACCAAATCTTATTTTACCTACCTTACCTTAGATAATGTTTTAATGAGGATAATGTTATAACGATGATAATGTTATAATGTTATAATGATGATAATGTTGTAATGCTATAATGTCATGATGAGGATTATGTTATAATGATGATAATGTTATAATGCTATAATGTTATGTTTATTGATGATAATGTTGTAATGTTATAATGTTATAATGAGGATACTGTTATAATGTTATAATAAGTTTGTGTTCCCTAACAGCTAATAGAGGAAGAGAAGAGCAGACACACAGTGTACATTCAACTCTTCTATAATTATGATTATGATGTGTATTCTTATCTGCTGTGTTCAATAAATAACCTAACCCATCAAACCAGTCTTACTGGGACCAGTTACGCTGTGTTAGGGGAGGACTGGTGTACACACACAAGAGACTGTTTTCCTCCACCAACTTTATTCTTCATTTTTTCTTGGATTTAATCTCTCAGACTTTATTATTTGTAACGAAGATGCAGATGTTTACTTGTAATGGAGTATTTCATGGTAGTACTTTTACTGAAGTACAGGAGGAGTTTATTACACAGAGTCAGAGACTGTCTGCAGTGGAACCTGCTGCCACCTGCTGTTCACTCACAATATCACATCCTGGCAGAGGAGGATTATGGGTTAAAAATAACTTCTGGAACATGTTTGTGTTTGTTTTGTGTTGAGTTCTGTTGTGTTATGTTGTGTTGTGTCGTGTTGTAACAATCTATATTCTGTAATATTGAAATGAAATGTTTGATCTGCAGCTGTGTTTTAGGGTTGGACACTGTGTGTGTGTGAAACCAAAATCAAATCAAACCAAATCAAATCGAACTGAATCATGTTCTTTAATAAAGAATGAGAAATAATAATGTTAATGTGATATCAAACACACATGTTGAATACATGTCAGTGTCTGCTGCCCTTTGGTGGTCACAGTGAGGAACTACACATCAAGCACATGACACAAACTATGTGACAAAATCAAGCTCAAAGGTCCCTGCGGTTGTGGTTTAGAGGTTGAGTAGCAGTTAGCTCTTCTGAAAGGAGGGACATGTTAACTCTGGTTCTGGTCTTAATCATCTCATAATCCGGACACATACAGGAAACCTGCTGATACTCTATCACATCTCTCAAGTACTGGTTGAATTCTGTCTCTCTGTATCTTTGTCATCATGGATAATAAAAATAAAGTATTATTGATGTATGATTGATGCAGGAGGACCATTACGATAAAATTTGGCGTTCTGTTTTGTACTCCAGTATGTGAGTCAGTCCAACATCAATAAAATAAAAACTCATTGATAGAAACATTTTAACATTTTAATGTTATTTTAATAAAAACTTAATAGACTTTATCAGAGTCTGATGTGTGAATTTACAGAATTTTCCTTTAAATATTTACAGAATTCATCTTAATTTTTTCATTAATGTGTAAATAAACACAGTTTTTGTCATAATAATCAATCAATCAATCATCAGGGATCAATTCCTCCATATCAGTGTGTTTGATTGACAGCTATGATGATGTCAGCAGTCCTCACGCCCTCTCAGACATCCTGACTGGACATGGTCAGAGTGGTGACCTTTGACCTCAGACCTGATGATGAAGAGTACGACACGTTGTTGCCACGAGACGAAGGTTTGTCCTCTGAGTTGCCACGGCAACAGAGAGTGTTTCGGGCCTTCTCCCTGAAGTCCACCGACACGAAGTAGAAGATGAAAGGGTCGATGCAGCTGTTGAAGGTGCTAACTGCTAAGCTAACCATGTAGGGGACGTAGATGTCCTCGCCGTCTCCGTCCAGCGAGCTGTCTGTGTAGGTGAGGAGGAGGAGGATGTTGCTAGGCAACAGACACACAATGAACACCAGCAGGACCAGCACCGTCACCCTGACGGCGTGACCGTAGCGCTTACCCTCGACCAGCAGGGTGCGCAGCACGGCGCCGTGGCAGAACAGCATGACGGCAAACGGCAGCAGGAAGCAGAGCGTGAACAAGGTGGCAAAGTACGGCAGGAAGTAGTTCTCCTGCTCTTCCTCAGGCAGTGCGTCATGGCAGGTGGTGATCTGCAGCTCGTCCAGAAAGTAAGTCTGTTGCGACACTAGCAGCGGCAGCATGGCGGCTAGAACCACCAACCACACTGCCGCCGTCATGTACAGAGATGTCTGCCGGCTGCGCAGCGTCTTGGCACCAAATGGGTGGACCAAGGCGATGTACCGGTCCAGAGCCACCAGCGCCAGACACAGCACGGACCCATACATGTTTCCATAGAACATGGCCATGACGACGCGGCAGAACGACTCACCCAGCTCCCAGTGGTTCCCCCTGAAGTGGTACACGATCCGGAACGGCAGGGCCAGCAGCAGCAGGCAGTCCGCCACCGTCAGGTTGATCAGCAGTGCGGTCGATGGCAGTGGTTGGGTCCTGAAGACTAGGACCCACAGAGCCAGCAGGTTGGTGGGTAGACCCACAACGAAGGCCAGCAGGTAGAGGACTGGCAGGTACAGGTTGGTGGTCGGAGCCTGGATCTCCTTCATCTGCTTCTCCTTCAGAGTGGTGACGTTACAGATGGTCTTCAGCCGGAATGCCCGCAGACCTGCAGAGACCAGAACACACATCACACATCAGACTGCAGACCTGCAGAGACCAGAACACACATCAGTGTTCTGTGAGGAGGAGGGAGAGACAGAGCTGCTGCTGGAGACCGGGGAGCTCTGCAGAAGAGACCCAGAACAGCCAGAGTCCCACCGGATTCTGAACTATGTGACACCTACAAATGTATAGTTACAATTATTAAAATGTTAGCCAGTGAAAGAGTCAAATGTTAATAAATTGTTATAAGGTAATGGAGTAGTAATTTTGAAAGTGCCATTTCCAAGTTGTGCCACAAGAGGGAGTGTCTGAGCGCTAGTACGGCTGCGTGAGGCTTCCGCTCCTCAAACAGAGAACAGCCTGCTGAGCGATCACAAGTAACGTCTCCTGTCTCTGCTTTTCCTGTACAAAACAGGTTAGTAGTGTGTAATATCTTGTCACATTGCATTTATAAGGACTTTTAAAACCGTTGTTTTGACAATGTTTGATGTGTAAAACAGTAGCTTGCTTAGTTAAGAGACTGAGTTTTCCTGCAATGGAGTCTTGCTAGCTCCTGTGAAAAAAATGTAAACAACATGGCGGCCTTACTGTCAGTACTTATTTTATTTATGGTCCCTGCTCCTTGACATACCCTCTCTTGTATTTGTTTGCCAAAGCTTTGTGAAGTGCGGTTATGTAAAGTTGTTAAGTTGTTCATCCAAGTCATGTTACCAGGATAATACTGAATATATATCAGTGTTTCCCATTAATTACTTAGACTGTGGCGGACGACGATAAAATATTTTTGGTAAAGTTAAAAAGGACAAAGGTATGTTTTGTAATGATGGCCTGTATTGTTATGTAATACTTGGTGGTTCGTGCTGAATTTGGTAAAAATGTGAACAGCTTGGGCTTAAAAGTATTAATACTACTATAAATGTGGTTTTGGACCTAAATAGCAGTCACTGTTGGTGAACAATAGTACAAAGTTGGAGTTTGAATTTGATTTCTGTTTCATTCAGCAGTAATTTTGTACATTTGTAAAATGTAAGTCCAGTGGGTTAGTATATGAACCTTAAAGCTTGATGTAATGTAAATAGCGAAATGTGTTATAAGGAAGATTGTTGTGAACAAAACACTAAGTTGGTTTATGAAGTGAAAAAGAAAGATTCTGTGAAATAAAAAACAGAGAACAGCCTGCTGAGCGATCACAAGTAACGTCTCCTGTCTCTGCTTTTCCTGCACAGAACAGGACACTATACCTGCTTACGGGTAACTCATGCTTGAGGCCTGTAACATTAACGTTCTGCTTTCTGCTCGAGACTCGGCATTGTTGTCATAGCAACCAATTTCAGCTGCACAAGCTACAAAATAACTAATTAGGCGGTATTTAACACATAATAAGACTGTAGCGACATGCCTATAGGTAACAGTATACAGTGCTATGTGTACGACTTCTTCATTTGGTTACAACACAAGCACAAGTGCTTAAAATAGTAGAAAACCACAATGTATACGTGTGATGCTCGGAGTAGCCATCTTGGTAACTGAACTCGGGGTCCTCTGAGTTCAGACGACTTCACGAGTCGTTTTTCCGACCTCGGGAGCGTTCTATTTGCAACTTCCGGTCCGTAACCCAGGAAACCAACTCGCAGATCAAGTCGGTTGGACAAAAAGAACCACCATTTGTGGCTCTGTAACACCACACTGTATCCTAATGGAAAATACTCTAATTCCTATGGCCGCTAGAGGACTTTGTTACTTGTATCTAAACAAACTATGTTTTGGGACATTTGCTGAAACCTTGAGGGGCATGAAAAAGTTGTTTTTTTGGTAAACTCCTGTAGAAGATCAGTTCCTGAAGTTCTTACAATACCTCCTGGACGCTAAAGTAGGTATATAAAGTGCTCAACGAATTTTAACCTTCTTGAATCATCTGTTAGATGCTAAATACTTACTTGGTCCATGAGATGCTTCACCATTTGACTGCACATTCCAACACCAGTTATAGGAACCACGCCAACTTTTGCTCCGTGCTGGTGTTTAAAACTTCCACAGCAGCCATCTCTTTCCCATCAGAGAGTATTAAAATGAGAAAATGTCTAGTCCATCCAGTCAAGTTCTACCACTCAACCAGATTTCACACTTACCATCCTCTACTTCTAACACTACACCCTCATTCATCCCAAAGCTCCCCTTAAAGCACTTTTACAAGGTGAGAAGTGCCAGATTCAACAACAATGGAAAACAGAGCTGGTGTATCAGCTGTAGCCATCAATCATACTTCGATCAGTCACTGTCATCTGGCCCCGCGCCAACCTCGCACCAGTCTCTGCCACACCCTCGGCATGTAGCCCTCAGGAATGCTGGGTAATGAGGGATGGCAAGGGGCTTTCAGGCATCCGATTACGAGCCATGTTGGGAAGAAAGACGTGTCATGTGAGGGTGTGTGAGCTTGTTTACATTTACGTGTGAGGTATTTAGCTTCTGCTTTCATCTAGAGGAAAAGTAGGATGAACTTCCTGCATTGCACACATTGTAAGGAGAGGAAAGGTCACAGCAAGGAAGTGGCTCACGAAAGAAGTTTATGACAGGGAAGAATCTGGGATTATTGTTGACATGTTAGGTGATAAGTCATTGCTGTGGTGTTTTAAGCTCTTATCTCCTGTCTATCAAACGGTGTCCATTACTGGGCTACCCTTTACCTTTGATTTTCTGTTAATATGAATTGACTCTTCTGTTCCTTGTCACAGATATTCAGCAATATGCTTGTCAAACTAGCATGCACCAAGAAGACAAAAAGCTACTTGTTAAAAAATTTTTATGTCTGATGAACATACAAACATAAAACTTGGAAATTACTGAATTGAACAGATGACTAATTATATAGTCTATAAAGATGTGACTCTAATACTATCAATACGATCCACCTCTTCGGTCCAGGCTGAAACAACTGAATGGATTATAAGAAAATGTTGTACAGACATTCCTGGTCCCCACAGGATAAATTGCAATGACTCTTGTTGGCGTTTCCTCCAACAACACCAGTGTGAGCCTGAATGTTTTCAGCAAAGCCCCAAATCTTCACTGTTGATCACATGTGGCATTTCTTTTAACCAAATCCAGATAATAACTGGTCGGAACAAAGCACTGAATGGAAGAGTAACATTTGCATTCAAGTAAGCAATTCATAGGTAATTTTACAACAAACACTAAGTAACATGTTTAACTTTCAGAAATGAAGGATCTGCAGCAATAAAAGGTTTAAATTTGGGGTACATTTATTGATGGTTTTAATTTAAAAGCATGGCATTTTTAGTGTGTCAATCTTGGTCTGGTCATCATAATCACACCCCACTGATTTGGAATCCAACAATCAAATCACATCCTTGGGTTAATTTTCCTAATCGTGGATTAAACTAGCTTGGAACATGGAAACACTTACATTCAGCTCTTGGACATATTAATAATACTTTGATTTTAACAAACAAAACTGGATTTAAAAATCATAATGAGTAATAAATGAAATGAATAGTAAACTAGCCCAACAGTCTTAATGATATATTTGTTTTTCACAGCATTGTACTAACTATGTTATTGCTATAAGGCGCAAAGGCTTGTTCAAAATATGCTTGTAACGGTGTAATATCAGGGTATAACATGTTTATTTGCTGTGCATTAGATTTGTGTATTTGTAGATTTGACGCTTTACCAATAGCCATTCAAGGGATGGCCGCTTTAATTCAGCTTGAACATCAAAGATTTGAGTCCTCAGATTAATAACTATCTTTTAAATGGCAGCAAATATCACATCACGCCATGGAAGAGATGGAGATCTCACTGTTAATCTGTGCTACAAACAGCAACTGTTGAAGGGGGCACCGTGAGGTATTACGTGTAAATCCTCTTTCCTGAAAATTGTTCACAGTGCAAATGGAAATTCCATCAGAAAATTCAGACTCATTTATTATTCATCGTCACCCCCTCACCAGTGCCTCACTAGAGGTGATGAAAAACGATGGCGGATACGCAAGTATATCATGTGGGACTCTAATATATTGCTATCAAAAGCAGTGAACTGGAAAAGACAGGATTTAAAATGGTATCTGCTCCTAAGTCCCTACTAATTCAATAACATTATGCCAAAGATTTATTAGGCATCCCATTTCCCATAAACACATCTGCTTGCCGACTTTGATGCAAGCCGTACGATGATATATAAAGTATTTCAGAGAGGTTTTTCTTGGGGAGAGTAAAACAAATTGTGCTAAATACATTATAAAGTGAAAAACTTCAGGATTTTCCTTTTTACTTCAGTTTTAGCACTTACGACATATTTTCATCTTCTAAATGAATGCAGTATTGTTGATATTACTGTGTAGTATTTGGTCATAGTCAGGTCATATGAAAAAGGGAAGCATGCTCTTACAAAGTGATCACTCTAAGGTTTTAAGTCTCTTGATCCTGTCTGATTTATAGATAGTAAATGATTTCCCTCCCTGAAATGGACACAATATTTTGAGGAAGACTGCAGCTGAGTGGAGAGCGATCTGTAAAATCGCAACTGGAAAAGTTCCAGTCCTACAAAAGACAGACGTAACCTGTTTTCCTTCGAGAAGTATATATATTTTCTTTTACCATAAATTATTATTCAAGGATATGTAATTCACCTTTTATTTATTTTTTTAAGTTTTAAGTTTTTAAGTTTGAATATTATTTTGGAATAATTATGGACCTGATGTTGCCGTTACCAAATTCCTACAGGGACCGTCATATCATCCTCATTCACCTATCAGACCAGAACTAACCTCATTACAGAGGAATGTGCCTTGTTCATATACACTGCAGCCTCCTGGTCTTTACAATACGTCTTAGTGTGCTACCTTTTTGGACCCAGTTTAAGAAAAAAAACTTTAAACGAAGTAGGAAAAGAAATGAATTGCTCTCATCGTCTCTAATGTCTTGCATTTGCCCTCTCCTTACGTAAAGCAGTAACCCTTTAAAGGCGACATGGGAGCTACAGAGACACACGTAATAGTCCAGAATCATCCTCTCCTCTGGAACCCATTAAGAAATGTATAAAATGCTTTCCTACCAGTTTGATTTGTAGTTAGAGGGTTAACCCCTGAAATGTCTGTCTGTGGTTCTTGAGAATTTGAAACCCCAGTAGTGAGTGATTGTTTCAATGTAAATGGGGCATGAAAGCCCCTCCATAACTTTTCTTTTGGGTCTTGTCATGCTTGATTATAAATCCCACAAGTGATTTCTGGTTTTCAG